GTTTCAAAACTTCATGCGTTCTCATCAACAACCACCGTCCTGTCTCACGGTATCAACCTTATCCACCGACCTCTTAATTTATACAGAAGTGGTTGTTTTCTCCTTTATATTATTTTTATAAAGTAGTGGACCACTGAACTCTGTTCCCGCTTTTATGATAGGATTTTTTTCACTGCTTCCTCCTAAGCTCAACATACTTCCCAGGCGGATTGATATTTATATGCCTACCGTACTTAACACTTCCGTTGCTTATACGATTGCTCACAAAGAGCAACCATTATCCACTTTGTATTTGTTCTAACCATATCACGAAGTTGGTAACGATGAGACTTTCTGGGCATAAAATATAAAATACATTTATTTATTTATCGTGGATTTTAATAGTGCTAAAGTTTGGGCTTAGTCTCCCGGGGCATCAACTCCATCATTAACAACAAACGGGCATAGCTGGTCTTGCCTGAGTTCACTCCTTTTCCCTGCTATCAGCAGCAAGGGAGAGGCAGTGAGTTCCACCCATAATCCTCAAAGATAATAAATCTACACATTTATCATAATAAACATATTTTTGATAAATTATCAGCACGCCCAACTTCGAAAAATTGGAGAAAATATTTTTCAGTAGATCAGAATGTCTCTAAAGAAGGATAGAGGCAACCGTTTATTTAGTACAGGAATAGAATACGCTTGTTATAATACGCTATACATAAAGCCGCCTTGTTCGCACATGTGCTTCTAGATATGCGCTAGGGTCCTAAATGTCGGTTCGGTGCTTGATTAGCGAGCAGAAGCTTGATTTCATTCGGGAAGTTGTAAATAGAAGGGACCCGAAGGAAGATTACAAACTTCTGAGAAGCATTGGTGTAGGAACATATGGCGAAGTGTATAAAGTAGGTGCGAGTTTTGCGTTAATATTTTAGGCATTAAAATTGGATACGCGGGAATATGCGGCTGTAAAGATTATTAAAGTAGACGCAAAAGATGACATTAGAGCCGTCTTGCAAGAGATACAAACGTTACGAGATTGCCGTCATCCCAACATTGTCGAATTCTACGACAGCTACTTCAGGTTTTTTTCCACCCCCACCTTAATTCCTCTTTTAGGCATAATAAGCTGTGGATATGTATGGAATTCTGCGGCGGATATTCTATGCAGGACATTTATACAAGTAGCTGGAACCCTTTCCTTTGATTTTCTAGATACCCGGAAACCGGTGGACGAAGACTGTATTGCGTTCCTTTCGCGGGAAACATTGAAGGGAATATCATACATGCACAACCAGGGCAAAATTCACCGCGATATAAAGGCGAGTCGCACATTATCGATGGTCATTGATAATAACAACGCATTTATTTAGAGAACTCGTTTTTTGTAAACTAGCTCCTTTCGCAGTCTGCCGTACATTCAACTTACCAGTCATCCAATAAAGTTTATTCACCGCGAAAATAGCAAGATCGGATGATAACCAAACCGGTACTTCGAGGACAAATCTTTTTTTTAAATAGGTGGATCACAGGGCTTGTTTCCATTTGAATAGCTTCCTGATTCTTTCAGGGCTTTTGTGGGCTTCATAGGGAATATTGATTCATTGATCCGAATGTTGAAGAATCAGTCGAAAAACTGTCTTGTAATTTCTTGAATTACCTGTAACTACATGGCTTCGTTCCAACGTACTCATATGAAACTTCTTCAGATCTTTTCCTGTCCTCCAGCACCTCTGACTTACCAGCCCTGATCTCCCCGCTCGCTCTTTTTACCTACGCTTGACAAACAGAACTGAATTGTCTTTATTGAACATGCATTTATTGTCAGAGAACGTAAACTACATAGACTCACATTGCTTTACGATATTTTGTTTCGTGAAGTCTGGGCCGACAATTTTTCATTGGTGAAACATTATAGTGGTAGGCTGTTTATGCATATTGATGAGACTTTTGTTGTTGATGTAGTTGGGTTAAGAAATGCCGAATTTTTTTTTGACTCAGTGCACGTACCCCGAGAAGCGCTGTAGATTACAACCAGAAATCCCTTGTAAGCGTCGAATTAGACGCCTTAAACACTATATACCGACAATTGTCGTTTATCGGTTCGGCGTACTGACTGACCCTTTGATTTTGGTAACCGCTCCTTAATTTCCCATAGATTTTGTTAGTCTTCTGAAAGAGGCTAGTAATTTTTTTGATTTATTCGATAAGAGGAGCTTAGGCAGTCCGTCCAGCGGGAATTTGCGAATGTTGTTCCTAGTGCTCCACACTCCCACCTTCCGAAAAAGTGTAGCTCGCATATTTATTGCAACTGAATAATACAACTGGCTTGATGATTTGCTCGCACAATTCAGAACTTAGATAACGCTTTTGCAAATATTGTGCACCTCTTAGCACCCTCGTTCATTTTCATGATTGTCACTGAATGGATCCTTAGCAAAACAGGAGTGATGCTATCACGCCACTCAAACGCTCAAAATTTATGATTTGATTCCCTGAGCCCTCTCCTGCCAGTTATATGAAGCATACGAATAGTTCTTACGCTAAACCATTTCCTGCTCAGCCTCATGATTTGGTGGGTTTCTTTCGGCTTTCGTTCACTCTGTCTAATCCATTGCCTCTTGACAGAGACTGACGTTTTCCAGTTCTATTGACGGAAAGTTACTGCTATTGTTAAGCTATCGAAATTTTCGTGCATTTTTTTAGGGTGCGAACATTCTGTTATGCGACGATGGTGCTGTGAAAATTGGTGAGTTGCGCTTGCCTTATTATTAACTGTAATTGTTTACCTCACAAGTTATATCTTTACTAACAACGCTCCTTATTGTCTGCTCTCCAAAATGACTTGCATTCGTGCTATAATGCCCAACTAAATGCTCTTATGCTCCGACCAAATCCGTTATCAACCCGGTCATTTATTGGTATCCTTACCTCAGGAAAGCTGTCGTCTACAATTTAACGGTCCAACCTCTACGAAGTACAACTATATGCACATCAGTGCATTAAACAAAGTGTTACATTGAGTTGAATTCCGTTTTGGTGCATTCTAAATGGTCGTTTTTCCGAGTTTTCCCTGTCAAAAATTGCAAGGTGCTTTGTGTCCATGAATTGTACCCATGAATGCATCGAAAACTAGGATATCTTATAAGCTCAAAATGCAGATTCTCTTTTAAAGAACATATTAGGAAGAAGGCGCAAGTCTTTTTGCCACGCAATTTTTTAATGCAAAAGCGCGTTCATAGTCTGTCAACTCCTTTCCGACAGCTTGCCGCCACCTCCCCCAGCTGAGTAGAATCTTTAAAACGGTCGATTTACAAATATTAGAATCTTAGAAGTCCCTTCATTTAGCCACCACTTACATCGAAAACTACTATCGACACACCTTATAAGCTGCTTAGTAACCTTTCTAAGTGCATCGCTCAGGGCTTTTGTGCTTACGACGACTACTTACTTTTGCTGTTGTCATATTAGGCCACACTTAACCACCCCCTGCCTGAAATCCATAAGCAATATCCTGAAAACGATAGGCACATGTGGAGTACTGTCTTATCAACCATACTAGTTTATTTTAGGGCTGCATGGACCGTATAATGCGGTAACTTTTTAAATTCACTTTTTACCCGGAGTTCAATGTAAGGTAAGAGGTGCGTAAACACCAGCAGGGTACTGTTGTTGAATGTGCTAACAACAGTTATCTTCAGAAATGTCACAAAGTTGGGCGGTCGTGGCCCCTACAATAATACTAAATTATTTTCAGGAGAATTACAAAATATAAAGCAACATTTCCCAGGTGCAAATTTAAAGATAGCAATAACAACAAGATTTATTGGATCCATGGCATTTCGAGAGAGCTCTTAAGTTGCTGCCTATATATGGCGGTTCAAACCCGACTTATATAAACAGCTGGAGCATGTATTGTACCTAACTCTGCCTTGGTAACAATGGCTCCCTGTTTACACATTTCCCCTCCCAATTTTTTTTTACCTCAGACGTCTTTCCCCGTTTTTTGCTGATCATAGCGTTTTAACTTCTTATGCTATTGATTAGCCTCTTGGCTACTTCTTAGGACCTTGTGTTTATATCGATTTTTTCTGTATGAATTCAATTAGTATTTTCTCTTATGTGATTCACGTTACGCAATGAGAGACAGCAACTGAAGAGCTCTTTCGAAATGCCATGGATCCAATAAATCTTGCTGTTATTGCTATCTTTAAAAATTACAGCCACTTATCACCTAGTTTCTGCAATTCCATCAGATAGGCCATTATTTATGCGTGCTACGTGTCATTCTCTCTCTTTAAGCCTTCTGCATCCAACCAACTTTCCACAGAAGACTAGTAATACGCATTTCCAGGCGCCCACCAAGCGCCCACCAAGCGCCAGCTAACACCCATCCCGTTTTAACTCATATTCTTACCGTTATTTTTAGCCGACTTTGGCGTTGCTGCTCAAATTACACAGACTATTCAGCGGCGTAACTCTTTTATCGGCACCCCCTATTGGTAAGCCG